TCGTAACGAAATAACTCGCAGTAGCTGATTTCGTAGCTGATTTCGTCACGAAATCACTCGCAGTAGCTGATTTCGTAACGAAATGACTCGCAGTAGTTGATTTCGTAACGAAATGACTTTGTAGACTTGATTTCGTCACGAAATCACTCGCAGTAGCTGATTTCGTAACGAAATGACTCGCAGTAGTTGATTTCGTAACGAAATGACTTTGTAGACTTGATTTCGTCACGAAATCACTCGCAGTAGCTGATTTCGTAACGAAATGACTCGCAGTAGTTGATTTCGTAACGAAATGACTTTGTAGACTTGATTTCGTTACGAAATCAATGATTTCGTGACGAAATCAGTCATGCGACACTTGGCGCCCCATACTAAACTGACTTCAGTCGTTCACGCGGCTGCTCCAACACTAGGATGCCAACAATGACTTAAGCCCGGCGCACACGTGAGTAATTTTACTCAAGTAAAATGACGCATGAGTAATTTTACTCACGCGTCATATTTTCAGCGTCCGTCGCAAACGTGAGTAAAATTACTCGAGGAATATGTGGTAATGCAGATAACGTGACTGCGCGCAGCCAATACTGGCCGCACAATGATTTAAACGCATGCGCTGTGAGTACCAGTGTTGAGTAAATTTACTCAGCGCACGCGCGCCGCGCACACGTTGAGTAAAATGACGCACGAGTCAAAAATTATCAAACACATTTGATATTGAGTAAAATGACGCATGCGTCAAATTACTCAACGAAAATCCGCCGCACACGTGAGTAAAATGACGCATGCGTCAAATTACTCAACGAAAATCCGCCGCACACGTGAGTAAAATGACTCCTGCGTCATTTTACTTGAGTAAAATTACTCACGTGTGCGGCGGGCAACACGTTCAACGCTGCCGGTGTTAACAATGCACCTATACCGCCCTGCGCTGGGATTTTCGGGTTTTTACCGCGTTTTCACTTTTTGATTTACCACATTTCCTTTGCAGGAAAGCTAACCAAACTGACACATTCACTCTGCATGAGTGTTATCTCACCCTTACACATTCAAATGGTATGAAAATCGTTCCCCTTCATAATAATGTATTGATATGAAAACAGGGAAAAAACTGACATTTCGTGCATTTTCGTCTCAAATGCCACTGCACCGGTGGATTTTCACGAGTTTGTTATGATATCATTCGACAGTATACTAATATTTCCAGTAAGAAATGTGACAACTCTTACTGTGACTTGAGCCTCAAAACTAATAATTTCACGTTCGAATCAACGGTAGAGCATTGTAATTTGTATTCTTTAGTTCATATAAGACTGGGGTAATATAGACTGTCCCTGTTTAATTTATAGAGTAACAAAAACCAATAATCTATCCACGAGCTGACTCGTGGATCCGCGGGGATGCGTTTTGATTGTTCCCACGAGCTGACGCGTGGATCCGCGGGGATGCGTTTTGATTGTTCCCACGAGCTGACGCGTGGAACCGCGGGGAACGTGTTAAGCGTTTTTCACCGAGCAACGCCGGGTACCAGGCTAGTGTGGCGAAGTCGATCCTGTCCGTGTGTTGCCCGTCATCTCCTTGTACTATCGTCAACGTTACAGTTATACATTCATTGTGATCATGCAGGAATTAATATTATAGAGGGCGCGAGCAAGAGAGCGTGTGCGCGCATGACGCAGCCGGCTGAAAGGGGTGATACACTGAGGAGCGGGCCATCGCCTACTGGAGCAAAACACTCCACCGCCCAGAGAGGGTACTGCGCCACGCATCGGGAACTGTTGGCGGAAGTAGCCTGGGAGGTCGACGCAGAAACCTGCTGTACGAAGATAGGACGTGTGTCGTCCCTGCCTGCCGTACGAAGAGAGGACGTGTGTCGTCCCTGCCTGCCGTACGAAGAGAGGACGTGTGTCGTCCCTGCCTGCCGTACGA